GACCCTTTGCCCTATATAAATCATATAAAAGGCTGATTTTTCTGACTCCCATTAAGGACTTCTTATAAAAAGGTGGTTTTTGCATGCATTTTATTCATAAATGCCAATTTAAAGCATTTTACATTCAAATGCAAAAAACGTCTCTAAACTGCCTTCAACATAGCAGAATGAACTTATTAGAAGAGCAACAAAGTACGCATTTATCTTATTTTGAATCATTCTTATTAAGAAATGCTTCCTAAAATTGAGACTGCAATCAGCAGAGCAAAAACGCCCAAAACCGTGATAAAAACGAATTAGGCTAGAACGTGTGAACAATGCTGGGAACATTATCACACCCAATTAATGCCATGTTGATTATATTCTTAAAACAGTTTAATGACGCAAACAGTTAAAAATAATTCAATATGTACTGGCAGTGGCGTGGTTTCCTGATAATCCAAATCTGCCAAGCATTAAAAATTATCGTAGAAAATTTAATTTGTTTCAAATAACGAAACAATTGTTTGCAGTCTCATTTCGAACGATAATCCGCCGTTTTTAGAGAATGGTTTTTATGCCCAAAAACATTAAATTCAAACGACTGGTACGGCGAAACGCGAGCATTCCGGGGCGAAGCTGGCTTTTATGGTTGAAACAAACTAGCCGGACATTTTTTATTGCACACATTTATGAGATAATGGGTTATAAATAAAGTACATTTTATAATGAACATATATGCATGCTCTTAGTCAGCCTTGATGATACAATCGGGTAAACATTCGCAAGGATTCATTCAGTTCTTGATGAGAGTAGATTTTGAGTCAAGGATAACTCCATAATAAAAATGTTAATTCTTCTAAAGACTGGATTCGCGAAAGGTCGGCATTCGTCGAATTTTCACTTGAAGATGCCGCTTTAGCAAGCAAAAAAAGCAAAGCAAATACTTCGACAAAGGCAGGATTATTGCGCGAATTTTCTCGGCTTAGTTATATGGATTGGTAATTCCGATATGTGCAATCTCCTGATCGTAATCCTGATAATCAAAAATTATCTTCAGTCTCGATTATTTCGCAACTTCCTTCATAATTCCAGCCTGGTAGGTTGGAGTCATTAAAGCAATTTTCGTGATCAAATTACCAAACATAGCTCCAGTTCGGAAAAATGTTTAAACCTACACGAGGAAAGAACTATAGTCGCACCGTAATTAAAGACCCGATGAGCACAAGGAGCTTATTTTTCAGAAATCTAATTACTTTTGCGAATAAATGGGCTTGGAAGCACCAATTACCGTCAAAGGGTAATTAACGGCGAAAATCCTTTGAAAAATATGGCTCAACATTGGGGAATGGTATTTGCAAGCTTGTTTAATAGATTGTGTCAAAGCAATTTGGGAAATTGCAATTTTTGTTCAAAGCTCCTGAGAAATTAGGCTGACTTCAATCACATTTTAGATGAAAGTAGAAAATCTGTGGAAACGAGCAAAAATGTGGAATACATTTAATTGAAATTGATGTGTACAGAGGGATTTTGGGCATTATGAAGGATCGATTCGGTCCCGGAGTTCAAGGAGTTAAACCTAGTCCAAAGTGTTTTTTGCGATTTTAATGCAGAGTTTGTTGAAATTCTCTTGAATTCGACCTGATAAGAGTAGATTTTGTATCAAATACATTGCTTGAGATTTGAATTTTGTTTGAAATCACAAATGTAGTTTCTTAGAACCATGAGTTTTAATAAATCACTTTAATAAAGATCTGGTCTACATGTAGCTCCACTTCACATAAAAGCCTCAATAGGCTCGTGTAAGTGCACATTAAAACCCCTTATAAAATGGTGTTTTAGTCAAATGGGTTTTTAATTCCTTAACTGTTTTCTTATTTATTCACTCCCACTTCAAAAATCTAGAACTTCTTGAAATCAAGACTTTTTGAGAAAACTGCGAATATTTCCTGATTAATGGTTCACTTTCTAAAAAGGCCATTTAGTTCTGTCTGGAATGATGTAAAAATGAGCGTTCTTGCTCAATTTGCTTCCGAGAAAAGAGCCAAAACGCGATGGAAAACATGAAAATTTGGCATAATCTTGCGCTTAAGTATCTATTCAATTTTCGCTTTCTGGGTCAAAACTACTCGAATTTCCTCAATTAAGTTGCTATGACTGAATCGGATCTTAAATTCTCTATCCAACAATGCCAAAACGAATTATGTGGCTCAAATAAAGCGTGAGAAACTTAGAAAAAATCATCGTTGTTTGAGTCGATTTTGCGACTTAAAAAAAACCACGCAAATCTAAGGCTTCTTGATATTAAACTTTTTTGATAAAACAGCCAATATTTCCTTATCGATAGTTCACTTTCTAAAAACGCCATTTAGTTCTTTCTGGAATGATGTAAAAATTAGCGTTTTTGCTTATTTAGCTTCCGCGAAATGAGCTAAAACGGGACGGAAAACATGAAAAATTCGCATAATCTTGCACCTAAGTGTCTGGTATTAAAATTTCACTTTCTGGGTCAAAAATACTCAAATTTCCTCACTCAAGTTGCTATGACTGAATCGGATTTTCAATTCTCTATCCAACGATACCAAAACGAATTCTGTGGCTCAAATAAAGCGTGAGAAACTTCAAAGAAATCATCGTTATGTTTGAGTCGATTTTGCAACTAACAAAAAAACACGCAAATCTCAGGCTTCTTGATATCAAGACTTTTTTAAGAAAACTGTCATCATTTCCGTATCGATGGTTCACTTTCTAAAAAGGCCATTTAGTTCTCTCTGGAAAACATGAAAATTTGGCATAATCTTGCACCTAATTGTCTGATATTCAATTTTCGAGACAAAATATTTTCAATCCTTTGACTTGTTTTCTTATGCCAAGTGAAGCTTGAACGACAATGAATATAACTATGCAAAAAAATATGTTAAAAATTGTACGGGCATTTTGTCGCCCGCTAAGGTTTGAAGCTAAATCCGAAAAAAATAATCAGCCATTATGTGATGTTACATGTAGCACTGAATAAATAGTAACGTAATAAGAAAAATTGTTTTTTCAACTTTGGCAACAGCCTTTTTTGCCGTCCGAAATAAACCGTTGTGAAGCCTTTAGAAGGCAGACAAAGGAAGATAACGCTGATTTTTAATAACATACATAAATATGTATGTACTTAGAAACCTTGATACTATTCCGGATTCGTCAAAAGAATACTTTTTCAGGTAGAACAGTTACTCTTTTAACTACTTAAAAACTGTATAATATCGCACCTACGCTTATGGAAGTGAAGCAATTATACTAATCAACCGTATATTTGTCTCATTTATCTACGTTATCTTTCAAATTTTGAGGAAAATGATACAAGTGGTTCAAAATTGAAAAACAATTAAAAATTATACTGCGAAACTATATGGCGTCCAAACTAACTGTTTATAGACACAAATGTGACTTATTTTTTAACTGGATAAACCTAGATTCACTAAGCAGTCAATTGGCGTAGAAAGCAACAATAAACGAAAAATTCAGTGTAGATCAAAAACCTAAACAAAATTTTAATACTTGTTTTACCATCCTGCATATTAGTTTAAAGTTTTAAATTTAATCAAATTAGGAAAGAACAAACGAGGCAGAAAAAATGTATATTCATATAGGAAACAGTCAGAACTAAGATGATAATTGGCGGTTTCTTCACTGTGCAAAACACATCTTAACAGTCATAAAACCATAATTTATTAACATCTTTTTACACAAGGTCGCATGGCATGATCCGTCTGGGGAATTTCAACCTTGACTTACGAAAATGTGTGAAACATCGAATCGGTTTTGGCCGAAAGTATCTTGTTCTCAACTTATAATACTCGATTAGCTACAAGAAAGTGATTTTTCTGCTCAAAATTGCATGAACATTGAAAGCAATAGAGATTTTCCAGCAAAACTAACTCCATACTAATTAACCATCAAGTTATGAACATGCTGGGAACATTTTATCATACGTAACTGAAATATCGTTGTTAAAATGTTATTTTTGCGGTAATTAATTGTCTTCAGCTGCTCCTAATTTAGGCCCTGCTTTCAACATGCTGCAAACCATGCAGAAGCGAAAATTAAGTTCGAAATTTTCCAATCTTCGCTATGACCAAGAACCGAACTGTTCAGGCAAAGTCCCCTCTTTTAAAAGAGTCAATTATTTGGAAAAGTGTGCAACTTCAATAGCCAAATCCTCAGGCTTAGTTATAAACCATTCAAAAGAGTTATTCAGCAAGCTGCTGCTGTTTATTGCTTTTTTCGATATATATCTGCGTCCTCTCGATCGATATTGGCAATTTCCCATACTTAAATATTATCCGCAAGACGTAAGTTTATTGTGCTTATGGTTTGAGTTGAGTAAAACTAACAAGACCAGGCCCCAGGCCATGTGCTTGCACTTAATTTGGTCCTTGCATGAATAACCGGTTAATTAACCGGATCCGATTCGCATTGATTAAAATGGGTGCTAACTAATGTGTCATCACACATTCAGCGTCTGATTGTGGTACACGAAAATAATAGGTCAGCTTCATGTTTATTTTTAGATTCGTTATTACTAATCAATGACCAATCATGAAGGCGATAAGACAAATGCCCGATATTACGATAACAAACTGCTACTTATTACTTGAACGTCGTGGATTTTCCTGCAGGATTTGCGCGAAGAGAAATTGAACCAATTTCCAGACACATTTTCCAGCTTTTATCTTTTACTGCTTTTTGCCGGCGAATACGTTTCATGCTTTCGTTTTTCTTATTTACACAAATCGCACTGGATGGATTATGGAAGGCAAGGGATAAAACAATCGGTTCTTCAATGTTGTTTTTTGCCATTTGCCGTTAAGCTCCCCATCATTGTTTTCTCTCGATAAACAATAGAAAGCCCTTTTTTAATTAAAGTTCTTTGGGGTTTAGTTGCTTTTTTGGGTCATTCAAAGCAAGTAAAATAACACCGCATTTTGTCCAACTAAAGCTGCATAAGTGTGGTCATTATTTGCTAGTCTTACCTTTTTGGATTTATCTATCCAGACATCTTCATTGTCTGGTCCTTTGTACATCAGCCCAAACCACCAGGTTTCCTGCACGCCCAATGACTTGCACATGGTCTGGAAAATCTCCCTGGTGGAGATTTTGGGCTGAGCCTCCAGTTCCGATTCATGAGGTGGTGTCCGTACAATCACCTTCATTTTTCACTCTGGAAAGTGAAATTTCCAGATTGTACATCGTAAAATTCTAGGCCAGAAACCATTGTATAGCGTTTGCAAACAAAGAAATGCGAGAAACTCGATATCTCCACAGATATGCGTGACACAATGGAATAAATGATCCGATAATGGGAATAATAATGAAAGCGATCCAGTGTATGTACTTGTAGTAAACGGTTATTTTCTGTTGTGTCATAATTATTACGAGAACTAATCACTAAGTAATCACCTACTTTAAGTTGCCATCCGAGCTAATTAAACACATTGTTTGCGTAGCAAATAACTGTAGCCGGTTAAAATATGTGGAGCAAATGGAAATGGGGTTTTCTCGGGGCCCGAAGCCATGGAAAAACCCATTAATTATTCGGAGAACTGATGGCCAGCTAAGTGTGTATAGGCGAGCTTAATTATTAAAATCAAAGCCATGCATTTTTAATGACTGACCAGAACCTTAATCATCCAAAGAATTACAGAGTTTATGAATGTTTTCCAGCAAGAATATTTGAAACTGTGCTGTTGTTGTTCTGGAAAATGGGGTTGAACTTGCAACGGGCTCAAACCTCATAAATTTATAATTTTTTTGGGAAAAAATTGCTCAGATAATTAGTTTGGATTGGGAAAATTACGTTTATCAATACTCGCTTTATAAATGAATAAACTAGACCAAATAGTGTGAAATTAAAAAAAGAAACAGATGAAATAATAATACGATGAATTCCCAGGATCAAGAACAATTTCAATATGGAATAATAAAAAAAGTACCTAGCTTGAAAGATTAGAAAAAAATTGCAACAGGAAGATTTTAATTAATTAACAAATACAATCAAATATTTTTTTTCATCAGAAGATTTTGTTTTTATAGTTAATTTAAAGCTGCAAACATAAAGATGGCATAAAATAATCAAAAGACAGTCTAGGAAAAACAATTAGAAGTAATCAGAAATACCTTGGAAAATAATGTTGGAAAAAAATAAAATGAACAGAGAATTTGCTCACAAAAGAGGTGTTCAGCGAGTAAAATATCCGAGATTCATTGCATAAAGAAATACCTGAAAACAATTTTTTGTGGTTAATTTGTCCTATCGGCATGTAAATCTGTAAAAAAAAAATGAATCTAAGAGAAACAACTAGAAACAATCAACCACACATTGGGGAAGAATGCTAAAAAAACAAAAATGTGTGAATTTGCTCGGGGACAAACTACTCATCCATTCAAATGTCCAAACTTTCATAACTAACTCAGATTCTTGTTACATAGATGATATTCTGATTGTTTGAATAATCGACGAAAAATGCCACCCAGCTAACAATGATCCAAAATAATAARGAAGACATCGGGAAAAAAAGTGGAAAAAACGAAAATGTATTGAAGAATTTGCTCAAAGAAGAACTGAGCAGCGACTAAAATGTAAAATTTGGCTTACTGGCMWATAAGGTCACGGACCTACAAATGTCACAAAAAAGGCTAWGGATAWAGYAAGAGAAACAATTAGAAATAATCGGGAAAAAATGRKGCAARAAATGTTTTGGAGRAAACGAAAATGAATRYAAGGRTTTGCTCACAGAAGAGSTGCTCAGCRRCTAAAATGTAAAATTTGGCTTACTGRCCAATAAGGTCCCGGACCTACAAATGTCAGAAAAAAGTCTAAGGATAAAGCAAGARAAACAACTAGAAATAATCGGGGAAAAAATGGGGCAAAAAACGTTTTGGAGGAAACGAAAATGAATACAAGGGTTTGCTTACAGACGAGCTGCTCAGCGACTAAAATGTAAAATTTGGCTTACTGGCCAATAAGGTCACGGACCTACAAATGTCAGAAAAAAGTCTAAGGATAAACCAAGAGAAGCAATTAAAAATAATCAGGAAGATATCGGGAAAAATGTTTTGGAGAAAACCAAAATTAATAGAAGGATTTGCTCACAGAAGAGCTGCCCAGTGACCAAAATGTCCAGGATTTATTTTGACTAAAAAAGTACCACCAAAGAATCCGTTTTTATATTAAACTTATGTTACAGGCCAATAAGGTCGCGGACCTAAAAATAACAGAAAATAATCGAAGGAGTTACCAAGAGAAACAGTTAGAATGAATCAGGAAAATATCGGGAAAAAACGTTTTGGATAAATCTAAAATGAATAGAAGGATTTGCTCTCAGAAGAGCTGCTGAGTGACTAAAATGTCCAGGGTCCTTTTTGCCTAAAAAATACCAGCGAAGAATCCGTTGTTATATTAAATTTGGCTTACAGGCCAATAAGACCATCTTTCAGCTATAATATTATGCAATTGTATTTTCAATAAAGTCAGTAGTACCATGACCTTAACATTAATGTTATGAGTTTTATTTTAATTTAAAGTTCTATATCTGTAAAAAACACCTTTTACGTGGCCAAACGTCAGTAGAAGTTTCTCTGGGTGGTTTTAACAAGAAAAGATCCTATGATGATAAGAGGAAAAAACTGTTTTTTTTGTAAAAAAACTTTGTAAAACCACTTTGTTTCACGTCGCTGAAACACTACACTTTCTTTCTTAAAATCTCAGAAAATAGTCTCTTGAAGTTTAGCTACGTACTTACTTAAATAACACTCTGAATAAATTGAATATTATTTATTTACATCAATACTAACGAAGTCAAACAAATATATACATAATTATATTGCTGGGATGCTTAAGGTGAAATTGTCTGCAGAAAACAAAGAATACTAAAACATAATTGAATAAAATTGAAAGATAATTGAGTGTCTTAACACTTTGCTCATGCCTTTCTAGTAGGTACAATTTGCTCCTACTTACCTAAAAAAGGTACTTTTCAATTTAAACAGCTGATAGAAGCCGAAGGCCTAAAATGTGTTAATAAATAATTCTGCTGATATGTGATTTAGGTGAACTTTCCACTTTTATTAAACACTGGATGTTATTTTTTTTACAATTTTTATTGTCGCTCGGTATCTTTAAAAAATTATTGAACACAAAAAGCATTTGAAAAAAAATTCCAGTTAACATGTATTCGTACTATTTTCCTAACGAGAAATTGTTTCAAACAAAATTTTCTGGAACTTTGAATTCTTCAACTTACTGTTTTTATTGAAACCAAGTAGTGTTGATTTCAATTAAAACTACACATAGTTTCTGTATTCACGTGAGCGTCAGCAGCAAATTATAGAACTGACAAGGTCCAATTACTTAATTTACGACCACAATAGGTGGATTAATTCTTCTGATTATCATGAAATCCCCCAAAATTTCCGGAATTTCGTCTGTGTTAAGAGAAATTGTCGACTTTAATCCAGTTTGATCGGCTCCTATCAGCTAATTGTCATTAGGCAGTAAAATCAATTTATAATTGTCGTATTATTAGCTCTACTCATGTGGAAAAATGTGACTTTTTCAAGAACCTAGCGAGTGAATTGGTGTGCTGAGCAAGCATGCACAAAATGAATTAAGTAGGTAGCCATGGCCATCACTTTCGGTTTTGTTTCATATAGTCGAACGTCATCAACTTGGGTCATGGGATGATCAACGTGTATACAATTAACTAGTACCTGTAGATGTAAATTGCACTGCACAAGCGACTAAATGGAAATAGAACAAATTCGCACTCAAGTCCGCAAACGACCCGAACACTGCAAAGAACACTGTGGAATAGTGTTTCGCGACCGGTACCAGGGTGTTCAATTTTTATTATCACCACTGGCTACATTAAACTGATAAGATAACCACACGTAGGTGAAAATATTTGCCTTCGCCTGAATCGGGGCTCCAAGCTGTTCACACTCACGTTCTATTATTATTGTTACTATTATTAACAAATCGTATATGTACTTGCATGCAAACACATATGAGGAATAAATTCTCTGCAGCCCGACGTTGTGGTTTATGGAAATTCACTCATTGATGACTCAATTGTCCGTAACGATCTAAACATGCGTGATTTCACAATGATGGCACTGTCGTCAACCGAAATAGTTTATGATTATTTTCAAATTTGTCCAGGAATTGTTTCAGCGACACTGATAACTGGCGCTCAAACAATTCGCATTTTTCCATACAACAACCCCATTAATCTGTGGTTTGGAACGGAAGTTCAGTGATAATTATTAGTGATTAGCAAAGAACTGTTAGTTTTTTATCGATTTAAATAACAGGCATTGTTTGACTCACATGAGAAGTTAACATCTATGCATAACACGAAAGAACTGGTGCGCAGATCGCATCTCGTGATAAACACTCCAAAATTGAAGAAAACATTCAAGAATGGGAATGGGACCAAATCCAGAACTAGGTTTTTTTTCCTTCGGGGGCTCCTCGTATTAAACTCTCTTCTACAAGCTCTAAAAACTTTTAGTACCGATTTTTCTGAACCACCTTAAGTTTCCCATTGACTTTATATGGAAAAAACGTGTTAATTTCTTTAACCTGCTTAAAACCGGTCAAAATTTCGGATTTTCCTTATTGAAGCTATTTTTTGTTACGTGGTTTGAGCTGCTGAATCGATCAAATTCCTCGGAAAACGCCAGAAACTAGTGAAAAAAAGACAATAAATGGGTCTGTAACGACCATAATCGTTCAATTTGGTTTTAAATTACATACATATGTTTTCATGTGTTTTGAGTATTTATTGATTCATATTCAGCTGTATTTTCCCCATTTCGAACATTTTTTGCTAAGTCCAGGCTTTCCCAAAATCGCAACTGATTTGCAACAGTCTGACTGAGTTTTTTTATTGGTTTCTTCCTCACTCGATTTTTCTCTTTGTGGATCTTTTCTGTGGTTCATTTTTCTTTAAGCAATAATTTGAAAATTAGGAATAGATCACTGTCCTGAATGTTGTCATTGTGATTTTTTAAAGTTTGATTAATTTTTAAGCGCAAACCAACCAAAACAAATTTTTGGCGAAAAAATTTTGATTTTTTTTTCGAACTGTTCGACAGGTTGTTAGATATGGAAACGTTACATGACAAATCGACTGGGTGGTTCAAAAATAAATTCCTCTGTGAGCTACAGGGGGAAGACGAAAAAGTTTGTACAGTCCCTTATGAAAGAAAAATTTTCATAATTGAATAATTTTTTCAAATGATATTAGTATTGGTTGAAACTGTCACCAATTAGTATTGAGACAAATATGGATCAACTCCATGTCAAAACTTGACCGAAATATTTGACATCACAAAATCGGAAAAAAATATCCTCAATAGACGAGAACACCATTAAGAGGATTTATATAGGACGTTTATATGGATTACCGAAAATTCACAAGGAAGGAATACCACTAAGACCAATCAAATCACCAACTTACGATATAGCAAAAAGCAATAGTCCACAGAAACATACATCAAGGATTCCGAACATTTCATTAAGAAGTTCCAAGACCTCAGACTGGAACCTACGGACATGCTGATCAGCTTCGATGTTGTCTCTCTATTTACAAAGGTACCCGTGGACGAATCCATAGAATTAGTGGCGGAGCTATTTGAAGAGAGTACAACAAATCTGTTCAAGGCTTGTCTGAAGGGCAGCTACTTCCTGTGGAATGGAGATTACTACGAACAAAAGGAAGAAGTAGCCATGGGGCAGTAGTGGGGAAGCCCACTCAGTCCGGTGGTGGCGAATCTTTTCATGGAGAAGTTTGAGGAAACAGTGCTGAGCACCGCACCCCTTAAACCAACGATCTGGTACCGATATGTCGATGACACGTTCGTGCTATGGAGGCATGGACGCAAAAACCTGGACATCTTCCTCGACCACCTAAACAAACAGCAGCCAGACATCCAATTTACCATGGAAGTTGAACAAAACCACCAACTGGCCTTCCTGGATGTTTTGGTGTCTAGGTTGGGTAATCGTTTGGACCACAAGGTATATCGAAAAGCCACCCACACAGACAGATATATTCACAAGCTATCTAACCACCATCCGAGTCAGAAGCACGGAATCATTAAAACTCTTTCATAAAAGCCCTCGCAGGCCCTTATGGAAGGGTAAGTTTCAAAATTGAATAAACTTGTCAAATGATATTAGAGTTGGTTGAAATTGATACCAAATCGATTCGGTAAAGTGGTAGGAAAGAACTCTATTTAACTCCATGTAATCCGTAAATTGTGGTACTGATCGACTGAAATGCTTCTCAAAAATCAGAAAATTATGATGAATCGATCGTAAACCAAAATATAGCTAATAGATGGGTTAATGATTTTTGAATGTCACAATGAGAAACTATAAGTTTCCGATTTTACCCAGACCAATAAATCGAAGAAATGTTCGAGAATTTTCGATTTGTCCGTGTTTTTATGTAAACAAAAATTTCCAAAAATTCTATGAATCATTCCAATGAGCTGGCGATAACACAGGACGATATGGAGATCACTAAGCTTTAGAATTAAATGAAATCGATTGCAACTATACATATCAAATATATAAAAATAAATATTAGCTCGAATATGCAGTAAAAAGTATGGAATGCCACTTACAAAAACGTAAGTTTGGTCTGTGACTTGAATTTGGAACACCTTGTATCAATTGGCGTTTATCTACAACTTTTATATGAGTTATGTGACGCTTAAACCTCTAAACTGCCCGGACTATCATAATTTAAGCTAACTTGCATTCTGTAACTTATATATACTTGCTAAACGCATAATTATGGTAGTCAGAGAAGTCAGAG